TTTAGCCTACACATCTTCATAAACCTGTTTCAATTCAGCCGCAGATGGAGAGTTTCGGAGCATGAATAACCTGTTTAAGGTCACCCCACAGTATCAGTGTTGCATTTAAGTTCAAACTTTGACCTCTACCCTGCAAAGCTCAACTCGATTCTCCAAAACGTTCTGAGATCTGTTGGATCACTGTGCTGCAGTATAGGCCTTTCCAAATGATGGGCGCTGTTTTTCAAGATGTTCTGCTAGAGAGCTAAAGCTACATAACACTACCAGCTTTATTTTTTTTTTTTTTTACAGTTTATCCAAACTGTAAAAAAAGGCTGTAAACAAACTTTTTTGGGAGATTTTCACAAAAAGATTTGAATCCTCCAAGTGTTTTAATTAAAACTAAAACTAAATATGAGACACATACTTCTGTTGACTTCGGACAGCCGTGGTTTTGTCTGTTAAACTATTGCACAGATGCCTTTTTGGCAAATGTTTCTTGTTATTTGTGCACTATGAGGCATCCGAAGCCTATAGAATTGTATAGTAGATGTTCTCTGTGCTTTTATGACCTCCTGGATGAGCTTTCAATGCTCCGGTCCTCCCGGGAAGTTTAACATTTTCTCCATCTCGGGATAACAGCTCTCAATTTGCTGAAATCCCAAAGCCTTAAAAGTGTATTTATAGATCTCTTTCTAGACAGTAAAATGACTAGTTTGTCTTTTTTAATTGTCTTTTGGTCCCATTACCCTGCTTTATATTGTCCAACAGTTCTTGTTTCTTAATCATACAGACTATTGTTCATAGCTTTGCTGAAAATTATATTAGGTTATCGTTGCATAGTAATAATGTTTTCTCGATCTGTTAAGTGTAGGTGAAAATGTGAGTAAATTAGATTAATAACAGGGTAATGCAGGATTGTATCAGGAAGTGTCCCATGCCTGCAAACATCTCCTGCAGGACTGAGCTTTAGCAGATCAAATGTTATTAAGAACAATGACAGAAGGCCAGCAAAGATTTCCACCCTCAGAGTCAATTTAGATTAAAGCCAAGCCTTTATTTCAGCTCTGTGAGCTGAGGGAGGGAAAGGTGAAATATTTGAAATAGTTTCATAAACAAATAATCCCACACTTTGGAATATGAGGAAGGAGGAATTATCTTAAATAAAAAAAACGTCCTCCAGATGGGTTGGCAAATTAAATGAGTAAACAAGATGATGTTTTGTTGTTACTTGTCACTTTCCATCCACACTGGTTTCACGTCATACAGATGTGTGTCATGGATCATAGTTGCAGAGAAACATTTGCTCCTTTCAGTGCAGATGTGCAGTCATTACCAGGGATTATGTAAGCCCGTCACACATTTGGTCACTATTGTTTTTGTACTTGCGAATGATTTGATACATTTTTTGGATATGCGTTTGTTTTGCTTAACCCTTTATAGGGCACTCACTGAACTTAGATTACTGATACTGTAAATCAAAAATTTCAACCCAAAAGTGTTAACGGAGGACAGAACAAGACCTTATTATTTCTATAATATTTGAAAAATACATATATTTTATGTCAAAAATCAAGGTGAGTGTAATTACAATACCAGAAACGGTCACTTGCCCTTATATGGTAAAAAAAAAAGTGCTTCTTTAAAGAATTCATGAAAATGATAACTGTCAACATTAAGTGGGTCCCTTGCTTGTATGTTTTATTCGTTTTTAATTACCGCTACAAGCTGCACCTGAGGTGCAGTTCAGCTTTTTCACAATTTCCATACACATCACAAGTCTAAATACATCAAATTTGATGGATTATTAAATTTCCCGCAGCCTTCCAGTCACTTAGAAAGCATTCAAATCATCTGGGATTCTCTTTACAAAAAACCCTGGGTGTTCAAATCTCAGGACTTTCGATTTTAAATATTTTGTATTTAGCTCTGGATCAGCTCTGACCAGCCTCCCAAATATTGCTAAAGAAAGGCATCCCCACAGCATGATACTGCCGCCTCCGTGTTTCAGCCAGGAAAGGGAGTTGCAGAGTGATTATCCTTTTTACATTCTATGAATTTTGCATTTTGGCCAAAAAGAAAATATCCCTCATAAATAATAAATTGAAAAAAGCTCTATTAAGGCTATAAATATAATAACTATAAAGTCATTAGGCAGGAAAGGATTAGATGGGCAGATATTCTTTTGCAACTTACTTGAGGAAAAGGAATCAAATTTCCTGGTTATCATCCCATCCTCTCTAACAGGCTCTCCCAGCTTCGTTTTTTTTTTTTTTTTTACCTGTTTCTATCTGAGCAATCCTTTTAAAAAGGAAAGAAAAACCCAAGACTTCTGTGACTGGAACATAATCTCTTGTGAAATCTTCCAGAGCCTGTTACATCCAAAAGCACCAGAAATAACTCCTGAACTGCAAAAATGACTCATTCCCATGAGAAGTGGTTACTGGAAGCCGCACTTATGGCTTAATATCACTTGAAGATGAAGTAAACAGTTTAAAGGGAAATCTGTTATACCTCTGTAATTGCCTATTCACTGCAGTCCTGTGATTCCCAACGGCTCCCTGTCAGGAAACACTTTGCTGGCTCCTGTTTATGACCTGTTTCTGCTCCAAAGATCAGCTCCTTCCTGAGCTCCAGCCATCAGCTACTTTAAATTACTTTTAATGTCTGTCCACCAACCAGCGTCGTAAAAAGAATTTGATCTGAGGCATGAATTTCCGGCTTTCCATTCAGATTTTAACAACTTCACTAAAAATAAAGATGTCTCCTTCATTTTTTGTTTATAGTGAATATGTTTTGAAAGATTGAAAATAAAACATATGCAGTAATAGCTAACTTCAGGGTAATAAATGTGGAAAATATTTAGTTTTTTATAAAAACATCCCCTAATGTGTTTTACAAGTTAAAAAAGTTTAATTTCCATCCAGACATAATTTAACAATAATACACTAATCACTGGTGAAGATTCTCAGTCATCCAGGTCATTCCAAAAAAGTAAAAAGAAAACAATTCACTGGTCCATGTTTCCAAGTTTGAAGACATTTCGTTTCCCATCCAAGTCTTCAAACTTGGAAACAAATCATCTCCTCTATTCTGAAATTATGCTGAAATATCTAAAGCTTATTAAGAGTCTATTTGACTCTCTGATTGTTTTGATGATTTAATTCAGAGATTAGAAAAGAAATAAAAGAATAATCAAAGTTTCAATGTTTTTGAGCTCCATCAATATTTAGATCAGAAACTCATCTGAAAAAATGGGAAATAACCTTTTTGATCCTTTTCTTCTTGTCAGGACCAAGTGCTTGCATGAATGTTCTGCTCGTCTGACTCTTAAGCCCCTTTTCCACTGGTACCCACAACTTGACTCAGTTTTTAGGTTTTTCCATTAGGTGCTGGTACTTGTTACCACATCTTTCAGTTGAAACACTCAGAGGATCAGGGTCAGTCATTAGCTTGAGTCATTTATATGTTTGGTTGCTGATAAGAAAATATAGAAGAAAGCTAGATGTCGGAACGCTGCTAAAGAAAATGGCCTTCATTGTTGGGTTTTGTTTGGGTCATTTAGAAATGATCTTAAGTAGCTTTCCTTGACTCATAGACATACCTTGACACAGAAGGCAGTCCTGCTTTGATGGCACAGCAGCAACCGTCTGGTTTCTGCTGGTTTAAGCTTCCGTTTTAAAATCTGGTTCTTGGTGCACAGAGGCAATGATGATTAACCCATTTTATTAATCAATCAAATTTGCTTTCTATAAAGAATGAATTATTAGAAAATCATATTTTCTTCACCTGTACAAACTTGAGCTTCGGTAATAACACCGGCTGCAAACATTTTTTGTTATATTTTAATTGTTTATAAAGGCTGGACCTGCCAACAGGCCTCACGGCTTGTACATAGTTGCACTTTGAACACAGTCCAGAAGGGATGGTTGAAATACAAGGTTATAAATTAAATTTCTATTTTTTCTCCTTTTTTTATAAAAAGAGATTAAGAAAATAAATCAATGATTTTATATAAAGAAATCGGACACAAAGTACCACAAGACAGCATTTTCTGAAAATTTGTGAAGACAAAAAACAAACAAAGGACCCTGAATCCTTAAGGTCAATTTTCTTTAATAAACGAAAGCTTTTTTGAATCTCAAATCTTAGTATCCTTCTCCCATAGGCTGTGTGACCTCAGCCAATCCTATAGATTCTCAATAGCAGCAATGTGTCCTCTATGTGAGTTTATTAAACCACATTCATTTTAAATAAGATTAAATACAAAAATTCTCCTTTTAAGAATTTAATCATGAAGAAATTTCAGGAAATCGGATCCCTCGTTGTTTATTCTCATATAAAAAGTTAAATGCAGCTACAGCTCCTAGTTTATGAAAAGATGTTTTCAGTTTCGTCTACATGATACGCTTCATGCAATCAGTTGAATGGGGAAGATGTCTGGAGATAAAAGATCAAAGTGAAGATTGGTGACAATAATGCCATATTTACCCACTGGTAAAAACTTACTGGAACCAATCAACAACAGCGCATTTAAACGTTTTGGCCTCTTTTTATCTGCTCCAAGACTACATTTTTGTTTTTAACAGAATTGTTGGTTTTTAAGACTCTCTATTGATGGATCACAGTGTATTACTCACCTTATCTCCAAATCTTATCAACCTTGACTTGAGATTGTCAACCTAGAATCTCCCTCAGATTATAGGACCACACTCAGAACCGAACAGGATAATCCTGTCATTGTGAAACATCCCAGACTTTCTGCTCTATGGAGCATGAAGCTCAGGGTCCTTCCTTTTGTTTGACTCTATTTACAAAAAGGAAGTGAGATTTTTTGTTTTAAAAATATTACATTCTTTGGTCATTTTTGATTGGACCTGAAAAACTGCATCCACCTTTGATTGCAACCAGAAAAAGGTTCAAGCTCAATGCAGGTTTATTGTATGTTTGTTTTAAGCAGACCAGTGAGTGAGTGATATAGGCTACAAGAGGACTACCGGATAAAAAGCAAAGAGGCTCACCTCTCCTGTGCACACCAGGTGCTCCAGGGTAACCAGGCCTTTGCTCTTGCTCTCGGTGTCGCTCAGCAGATCATCCTCAGACTCCACCGCGGAGGATCCTGTGGAGGAGATGGAGGAGTTGGACAGCTTTCTGCGCAGGGCTCCGTCCCCAGTACAGTCCAAGTCTTCCTGCTGGATCTCCCGGGAAGAGCCGCCTCCCTCCGGGGTGATGGTGACCTGCGGCACCATGGGCGCATCCATGCGCGCCGGTGCCGCGGGCGGCGCGGTGGCTTTCTGGATGAGCTCTGCGCAGATCTTGGTGGACCTCCCTGCAGTCCTTCTCTCTACACGGCCTCCATCGGTTAGTCCGGTCCCAGAGATCCCGAAGTCCTTTGAGGACTTTCTCCTGCACTCTTTGGGCATTTGAGATCCTGCCGTAGAGGCGCACGACGACAAGCGGAACTGCGCTTCAGCTCAGCATTCAAATCTGGTCATTTCACTGTGGGAAAAGTCTCGCACAGTCAGCGGGGACCCTGGAAATGCTGCTGATCCTCCCTGGGTCCCGTCTCGTCTCCTCTGAGCTCAGGAACGCCTCTGGCAGCCTGTGCGCTCTCTGCACACTGTCGGTAAGGGGAACCCCTCTTAAGTGGCGTGACTCGCCCTTCTGCGCGGTTTTACACTCACACACAAAAACACACACACACACTGCTACATCCCGCTGTCGTTTATTATCTTCCGCATTGCCGCTCTCGCTTCCTGACTGAACAGTTTAGAAGCTGCTGACACAGTTCCAGATCTCTGCTGCCTCTGTTCAGCAGAAACCAGTCCTTATAATAAATGGAAATCAAACTTTGCTGCAGCTGCCTAAATGCTGCGTTTACAAACCTGTCAAATGCCCTGAGTTTTGTTGTTGTTTTTAACATCTATAATTACAATCAAACTGAAAAAAAAACATCTAGAGAGAAAAAAAAAACTAATTATACCCTGGATGCATAAGTGTGCTAAACCTCGAGTTAATACATTGTTTTATACACGATTGGATCTAGTTTAAATATTTTCCTAGTACAGTATAGGGAAGCTTATAGTACAACATATATTATCTGCCCTGGTAGGATATGCATTAAGTTTGCTTCCATCCATTAACCTACTTCTCTTAAAGTCATGCTTTGCAGAGATGATGCAAATTATAAATGTTCTCAAAGATATCAGAATGGTTTGAAAACAGATATTGAAGGAACTTGATGTTTTTCTGTGATGAAAAGAAAGAGAGGAACTGGCCAAAAAAAAAAAAAAAAGAAAGAAAGAAAGAAAAGAAAAGAAAATAAATACCAAAAGACTATCAGCAACCACTAAGAAGTGGCAAGCTGTTCTGGTTTAGTGTCAATAACATCCTGTACTGTTTAAAATCAAGTTAATCCAGTTAATCCAAGGTTAAGGAGTGAGATTCAATCCTAATGTACCTATTTTCCCTTAAAAATGTTTAAAAAGTCTGAAGAAACCATACCTTGATAATGTTTTGGAAATAAACGTCTTGCACAACAGACACCACTGAGGACCAACAAAGCAACCCAATAATAACCACAATAGAACATGTGAAGTTTGGTAACACACCATGTTCCAGAGTTGCTTGTCTTCACCTTAATTTAAGATTAAAACTGAGTAAAGGCAAATATCAAAATTAACAAATAACAGAAAGTCTGTGAGGTCAACTAGAAGAAAATCTCATAATGTGAGAGCTGAAAATATTTCACAGTCAGGGATAAAATAAAAAAATAAAATAAAAACACCAGGTCAGGATTAGGCAGACTCATATATATATAAATATATATATATATATATATTTCAATTCATTCAAAAATCAAATCAACTATTCCACATTTTAAAGTATTTTACCTTATATACAATATTACAAGACAAAATGCCTCATGGATCATATTTGTTCTTTAAGGTGCAGCAGAACAGGAGATATTTAAAAATATTAAAATTACCATTTTTAAATGACCATACCAACTGTTGAACTCAAACTATAAAGTGACAAAATGTATACATTTATAACAAAATATAAATTCAATGCTGTTTGAGGTGATAAAGCATTTATGTGGAGACCTTCTTTTTCTGATAAACTCCTTTTTTATTCCAGTAGCTTTACATTCCTAACAATATGAATATAATCAAAACAAAGGCTTGTGTTGCATTTAAGTAATTTATTAGTTGCACTTTTTAATTGAAGCACTGAACACAATATTTTTTTTTTATTAAATTGTATTTTCATGAAATGAAATTGAATAAGGTCATACCCCCTCCTCCCTCCGAAACTTACAACTTTTTGTTCTGTTTTGTTAATTCAATCCACAAATCGAGACATTTTGTAAACATTAACAACACATAGATTTTTTTTAACCTTTATTCTGTAAATTAATATAATTTTCCATCAACAGATAATCAAAAAATACATTTAAAACTAAAATATAAGGCTATAAACAAATGAAAAAAATAAGCCAAATGAAAATAAGTTTACTAACTGCATTAAGATCTTTATTTATAAAAGGTATTTTGTAAACTGACAAAAGAGCCTTGTGTGGGCTGGGGTAGCAGTAACCGCGTCACATCTTTTAACCAATCCTTTAAGGTTTTAAATCTGTGTTGGGCTGTAGGGCTACAAGTGGCCCAGGTTGGCACTCGTGCAAACAACAAGATACCACTGAATATTACTTTGTTCACTGACAAGCATAAAGGACAATTGTGAAAGACTTTGAACTGAAAGGTATGAATACAAGGAAGAATATGATTCATTGAAATATGCAAAAAAATATATACTGAAAAAGTCACCAAATTCATTTGGAAATGCAAGACTGTGAATTGTTTTATTTTTTATTTATTTTGTTTAACCTTTATTTAACCACGGGAAAAAAATCCCATTGAGATTAAAAACCTCTTTTTCAAGGAAGTCCTGGGCCAAGAGGCAGCAAAGTTACATAATAAACAGAGATACATTAAATTAAATGGCAGGTACATAAAAGGTACATATCAAGTGAAACCAAAATATGAAGGAATTAGATACGAATACAGTATTTTTGGACAGGAGCGTTTAATTTAACATGTATACCAAACTCTTCCTATAAGTTAGAAGCTGGATAATTTTCCAATAATACATATTACATGGAAAATATTACAGAATCTCAGATTTCCAGAACCTGGTATTGATAAGAAAGAAATATAAATATGCCCTGCAATGGACTGGCGACCTGTCCAGGGTGTACCCTGCCTCTCGCCCGTAGACAGTTGGACATAGGCACCAGCACCCCTCACAACCCCCCATAAAGCGTGTGAGATAATGGATGGAATGGATGGAATTATAAATGATCTGTTTTAATGTCCTGGAGATGTGTTGATTTACCAATAGATAGTGCTAACGCATGACATACGACAGGAGAAGAGAAACTCGAATGATGGAAATGTGTAGAAGAAGAATGTTGTCCCCATATTTTTTGTTGCATATCCCTGCATATTAATGCAAAGGGCTTTTCTACGGAAGAGGATTAGCTCCACAGGAAGAAAAAGAAAACGTTTTTAAAGATTTTTTTAATATTATTTCAGTTTAATATGGGAAAAATTTCAGAATTCTGACTTTAATCTTAGAATTCTGACTTTAATCTCAGAATTTTGGATCTTAATGTAGATGGGCACCATGAAGGAAGAAATGTGTGAGCACTCAAACTTCCCTGAAAAATATATGAGTTGTTTGAGAAGGCCAGTGACACATTGGTGGAAAATTATGGAATTAGGTGACTTTTTACGTACCCGAGGGGTCCCCGTTGATGCTATTTCATTAATGAAAGACCAGAAGGTTATTATAACAATAGAACTGGTTTAGTCTCTAAAACAGACATGGCTACAGCTTGATGCTAACATGTCTGTAATCTGTCAGAATTCCATTAGAATTCTGAGATTAAAGTCAGAATTGTGAGAAAAAGTCAGAATTGAGAGTAAAAAGTCAGAATTCTGAGATTAAAGTCAGAATTCTAAGAAAAAAGTCAGAATTGAGAGGAAAAGGTCAGAATTCTGAGATTACAGTCAAAATTGTGAGAAAAAAGTCGTAATTCTGAGGAAAAAAGTCAGAATTCTGAGATTAAAGTCAGAATTCGTACTTTTTTCTCATATACTGAAATAAAATTTACAAATCAGTTAACTTTTTTATTTTTTCAGTGGCCCTAATCATCTTCCTTACTTTTCTGTTCGGTAAGAGAGAAATAAAATATACAATTGTCCTTCAACTATCAATTTGTCTCTGAAGACAACATACCTATGCATTGAAGTCCCTTCCTGCCATTTTAAATGAAAAAAAAACGTACAAAAATATATTTAAAAATGTTTAAAACATTATATATCCATATGTGTGTGCTTGTGTACGGAGCCTCCTTAACAACGTTTTATTAATGAAGTTTTGTTTCACCTGGAATATGCCACACACAATATGGCAGACGCGTTGACGTACTATCTTTAAAGGGATAAATAGTATCAGAGTGAGACCTCTTAATTTGAGCGGATTTAGTATCAGAGTGAGACCTCCTCTCTCTTGCTCTGCAATAAAAAGACAGTGCTAGCATCACATCTGAAGCTCGGCTCCATGTTTTTACCGACCACCAGCGTCATGTTTGCGGTCAGAAACGCTCTCCGCCTGGGCTCCAGGTTATCTGTCCCCACCGTAGCGAGGAGGGGATGTTCCGGAGCCGCTATCCAAGTGGATGACGTGGTGAACGGACTCACAGAGGACCAGATACAGGTCAGCTAGCTGTTAGCATCACAGGTTAACTTGGGGGGAAGCAGATAGGCAACAGACGAGAAATATAACTGATAAAGTCTGCAAACACTTTAGAACTTTATTGTGTACCACAATAAAGTGTCCCTTTTTACATTCTGAATAGGCAAATTTAAGGACAAAGCTGACAGGACGTGATGACATAACAGCTAAGAGGTGGAAAAGTGTAGCCGACCTTCCAGTTGCTGAGGCAGAACCAAGAAACTGTTAATTTGATATAAATCTCAAGTTATTACTGCATGATATATCCGATGCTCTGTAATGAACCAATGTTATTGTTTGACAAACTTTTATTTTAGTTAAAATCTGAATTATTCCAGTCGTGTTTATTCACAGTTGAACAGATTGATAAATGTATATTTTTCATGTAAAGATTTATGCAGTGGTTATAAAACAGTTGTGCATCAGTTGCTTTTATAGAAAAATAAACGGTGGGGGGGCGAGGCTCATATCAGGTATTTGATTGGACAACTGGCTCTACCTCATGATGCTGTCCCTATTATAAACTCAAACACCAGCCCAGCATCCACTATGACCTATTGCTTAATAAGGTTTTACACTAAACCCCTGATTATGTGCAGCGGTAAACTGTATTATGATGTTAGTAGCAGAACCTTTATGCTATTTGTGTTTTCCAGAACATCTTCATATAAGGTCTAAAGAATTGTAAACTGGAGAGTTTGGAGGCTATGTCAACATCTTAGTTCTGTACCCCAGCTTTTCAATCTATTCCAGAACCAAACTATTCATTCTTATTCTATTATCTCTTCCTGTTAGATCCTTTTAGTGCAGGGCAAACCAATTACAAAGCAGCGGGGTCCGAATAAAGAAAATAAACAACCAGTAAAGGTCCGGAGACATTTTGAATTCCAATCTGTTACTTTAAACTGAACTTAACACTGA